TTAGTATGCTATTTACATATAACATACATAAATACAGTATATAATATTATAAAATATCTATTGTATAATATTTTAGTAAATTATCATATATATTATAAATTATCTAATATATTATACATTAAAAAATATTTATTATTACTACTCTCTCTGTCCCCAAAAAAAAAAAAACCTCTGTTGGGGAGTAGAAATTGTTAAGGGGACATGCATTGTCTCTCTGGAAAGTTACTAACTTGCCCTTTTAAGTTTTGAATATTCAAGTTTGAAAATTTAAACTCTAAGGACATATATGGAAAGATGTGAAATATATTGTTTGAAAAAGGAAAGTGCACAATTATTTTGGACAGCCCAAAAAGGAAAGATGGACATTTTTTTCCAGACAAAAGGAATATATAATTATGATAAAAATTACAAATAATACATATTATTATTATATGATATATACTATATTAAATATTAACAGATTCTATAAATTTAATACATTATATAAAAATTTATTAAAATAAATACATATTTTATACAAAATAAATATCATATAAAAGTATATAATAATTCGATAAAATTAATAATATATAAATATTTGAAATATTATTGGGAATATACATATATTATATAATAAAGATATAGAATAACTCATAATAAAATATAATATATATTCACAATTAATTATATATATTATTTATAGTGCATGATATTTTAGATATCTATATAAAGACATATATTATAATATATCATATTATAAATATTATTATTTTTTAATTATATATATATATATATGACACTCTATTATTGAGAGGGTAATTTGGAAACAATTAATTTAAAACTCATTTCATTCTAACTTTTAAACTAATCAAACCAAATACGAGAGTAGGAATGATCATGTCATTCCTACATCATTCCATAACTGCAACCAAACAATGGAATAGGAATAACCATTCCATTCTTGCGTACCATTGGTGGTAGAATTGGGAGTCATTTAAGCCTTGACAGAATATTAATAGGAGTGATTTATGGGATTGATTTTTAGAATCCTCCATCAACATATTTTTCATATTTATCACTTGTATTCTTTCACCTATAAATAGAGGTGGTCATTGTAAACAAAACCAAGAAAGAAGATAATAAAAAGTGATGTAGCCCTTTGGACATTATATCCTGTGGATGTAGGCCTTAGTAGCCAAACCACGTATATTCTTGTGTTGTGTCAATCTTAATATCTCTCTTCAATCTTTTATTTTTTTTTTTAAATCAACAATATTTTGTTTTTCCTAGTTGGTACTCACACACACGTTTCTTATAAGACTTGAACCCCTAACCTCCCTTTGGGAAGTAAGATAATATATATATTTTTTAATTAACAATATTAATATATCATACTTGAAAAAAGATACAATTTAATGTTTAAGATTTGTTAAACATGTGCCACGAAGTATCACAAGAGTATTGAATATGCGGCACTAAGAAGCAGCAAATACATGTTCAAACAAAATAAAAAATAAAAAATTCATTTCTAAATTACGGATAAGTTTAGAAAGCAATAGACACATATCGATGAGTATCTAAGTAGTGTCATTATCAGTAGGGATGGCCACGGATCAGATCGGATTGGATTAGGCATAAATCCTAATCCGATCCGCTCGCAATGGATTGCGAGATTTTGAATCCGCCACCAATCCGCTAGCCCACGGATCGGATCTGATCGAATCCGTGAAATAACGGATCGGATCGGATACAATCCGCGGATCTCATCCTTCATCTCCATATCCATTTCCTTCTTCGATCTCCTCTTAGGGTTCATGTGGTTACACAATCTTTTCGCATGCGTCCAATCCACCGTCAGGAGTTCCCGGAAAACCTTGACAGAGCACTCACAAGCAAGAAAGATTTTCCGGGGTTGGACATGTTTATATGCGCAGATCCATACAAAGAGCCACCCATGACCAAGGAATAGGTCATTCTTTCTTCTTCGACTCTCTCTCATCATTATCATCATCAACAAATGAGACCCAGACATTTCCATCATGTTGATTTTCTTCTTCAAATCACTCTCGATCTCATCGATTCATCATCAACGAGAACAAGAACAATCAGCTGTTGGTAGTCTCTGATTTCTTCGGTCGCAACCGAACGCTAAATCCGAAAGAAATTCAAACCGATTCCACTGACTCTTCACTGGCCATGCGACCTTGGTTTGTTGTGATCACTGATCTCCCTCTCGAGAGAGGACTTGTTCAATTCCAAGCAACACTATGGTCTCCAGATGCTTATTTCAGATCCAACTACCCCAAGTATTCTAACATTGAAAAGATGAAGCTAATAGCTATGTGGGTTTAATAAATTATTTTTCTGATTTCTCTTTGCTCTACAAAACTGTCAGTGGTCTACTGGTCAACTCCCAAAGTAATAAATAATAAATAAATAATTATATTGTATAATATTAATATAATATATATATATATATATATATATATATATATATATATACGGATTGACCACGGATTAGCTACGGATCGGATTCACGGATCGGATCGGATTTTTGACAGGGTAATCCGTAATCCGATCCGTGAACTACGGATTCACATTTTTTTAATCTACCACCGATCCGTGGGTTTAGCAATCCGATCCGATCCGTACGGATCAGATCGGATCCACGGATTCGCGGATTTTTTGCCCAGCCCTAATTATCAGCTATAAAGATGAAATGGATTCGTTCCCCTTGTAGAAGTATTCGTGCTTCATATTAAATCACCAATGATTTATTTAATTTCAAAATTACAAAGTTACATAGAATCTTTAGATATCTAAAAGAGAAAGGGTTGCAAAATTAGGGAGCAGGAGCAAATAATTGTAGAGAAAGGAAAAAAAAAAAAAAAAAATTATTGATGACCTGAAGCGACAGCTGATCCATAACTTAACACCCTCCTCCAGCATTGAATACATTTTTGAAAGAAATCCATCAACATATGTCACAACCATTTGTCATAACTATTACATAGAGTTTCACCATCATTAGACCCACCACCAACCGTGAACTCCAGCCTACCAACATGACTTCCATGTACATAATTATATCCACCACCTGAGTGCACCATCAATCTCCACCTCCAATTGATTAACATTTGCCACCACCAAATGATCATTCGTCAATACCCTCAAAGGTGAAGAGTGCAGCAGGAAAAAAAAAACACAAAAAGGATAATCAAAAGGGGACAAAACTGAGGACGTTTTCTTACACAAGAAGTGGAGTTGTAGTTGTAGATGAAGATACATTTGATAAATTAGGGTTTCAACTACACTCGCAAAAAAAATTAGGGTTTCAACTACCAGAGATGAAGATGCTAAAGGCGAAGGTGGAGAGGACAAAGAGGGCAACAGTATCAGGAATTAATGTCTCTGATGGATCTAGGGCTATAGATCTAGAATATATGGAGGTACTAAGTTTGGTCAGGTTCAGTGCTAGTTGGACCGTTGTTACTGCTGATTTGTCAACAGCTGAAGGTTAAGGGTGGGGTTTGGAAAGGAGGGATCAGGAGGGTGAGAATGATGATTCAACAGCTGTGGTTTAGATAGGAAGGAGACGGATGTGAAAGTGTGATGGTTTCTAGTGAAGTCGTTGTCACTGATCATGCAAGCTGAAAGATGACTTCTACAAGTAAAAAAGTCCTTTTAGGTTCATAAATATGGGTAAATTTCGTTTTTCACTTCAGAGCAAAGTATAATGATGGGGTATTTTCGCTTATCATTAAAAAATAAAAAAAATAAATGATGGGGTATTTTCTTTATGTTGGGTCATTAAAAATGGATTGAAAAGAGAGAAGGGTATAATGGTCATAGTAACATATATATTAATCATGTTACGCAAGTGACTACGTTAGGTTCTTTTTCAAAGACAAACTCACATCCACAGGTAATTGCAACCCTTTGAGCAAATTTAGGTTTTTTTTTTTTTTTTTTTTTTTTTTTTTTTGCTAGAAAAATAATTCATTGGGATTATCTTCAAAATTTGCTGATTGAAGGAGGTTTTTCATTTTTCCCTAAATTATTTTAAGTATTGCAATGAAAAACAAGCCACAAACAGATAATTTTTTTTTTTTGATAAATAATAAACAGATAAATTTCTATTCTTGAAGTTTCAAAAATATTAATGATCCTATTCCTCAACTTCCATATATGTTATATGAGACAAAGCAAAGCCATCCTCCAGCTAAGGCTACAGTCCATTAGTAGTTCCTTGTGCCGCCTTGAAAAATAAATCCAATCAACCTCAATCTGCCATGATAAGGTCTCTGTGACATTTAATCCTCTTAATTCCTCTTCAACCTAATGCTTCAATCAAACTCCAACGACCAATCATTTGGGGCTTGGGGGTTTCCAAAACAAAAGTATTTAATGGCTTTCCTATCCTCTCCACACAGTGAGATGCACCAGCATAAATTCCTCATAATAAACTATACCAGAAAGGATCACGGGAGAATTGCATCATTGCAAAAGACCCATAAAAAATAGAATTCCAAACCTTTAGCTAAATTATGTAATTCAGAATCTCCCACTGCTGTGTAGACCATTTAAGAGCTTAAAATTGCAATATATATATATATATATGCATTCAGAAGACGTCTACATAGAAATGCACATTTCAGTTCCTTGGACTATAATCAAGAGGTAAAGTTATTTTCACCAAAATCTCTGAAAAATAAAACTCATCGGCGTTCTAATCTAATCTGTTGTTTGCAACTATATCTGTTCCGATGGTTAAACAAGGCAAGACAATTGCCACCACAAAACACAAAACAACTCTGTGAAATATATAAATAAAATAAATTCAAAATGATCCCAAATATCAGTAAAACAATTCCTAATAAATAATGGTTGTTCTAAGGCCGCGACATAGATCTTCTATAATGCTATAAAATTTATTTAATAAAATGATAATCAAAGACCTTAAAAATGAAAAGAACGAAATAAAGAGATGCGAAATGAGAAAGAGATAAGCAAACCCTAACCCTAGGAGGAGTGTCGCTGTTGGGATCTCTGTTGCCACCATTTTGTGTCGCTCCTAATGACCGACGGACCCTCTTCTTCTCTGCTCCTGATTTCTTCATTTCTCTCTTCTCTCTCCTCTCTAAATTCCGTTCTGTTTTTCAGTTTAGGGGCCCTTCTTCCCTCTCTCCCTCTCCTTCTTCCCTCCCCCTCTCTCTCTACATGTATAACGTCTGTATAGCGATGGATAAATAAATGATAGTACTATTTGGTAGCCCCATATTTAGAAAAACGGTAACCCATTTCCCATTTGTGGTCGGTTGCCAAATTTTAAAGGAAAATGATATTCTAAGGCCCTCTTCAAATAGGTCTTAATGGTTTAATTTTAAATTCCAAAACATATCCAACTATATTTATACGATTAAAAATGATAATACAATTAATGATATCCTAAGCCCTACTTCAAATAGGCCTGAATGGTTTAATTTTAAATTCCAACAAGATTTATCCAACTACATTTATATTTATCTGAACTAAAAATGATAGTAGGATTAGTTGGTAGAACAACATACTTATCATATTTTTATATTTTATATTAAAAAAAAAAATTGCACTCATATCATAGAAGGGCTACAGATATCAAGGGTGGGACTTGGGCGGGTTTAGCCCACGCCAAACTCAAAGATTCTAACACCTTAGCCCACGCTTAGACAAAATTCCAAAAAAAATTCATTACGTTTCGTCCAGCCTCTATCATTTAATGAGTTTTTAGAGTTATCTTAAATTTTAATAACCTATTAACAAATAAACATTAAAAGAAAATAAATTGTTAGGATCACTTCTTATACCGTTCAAATGTATGACAAAAATCAACTGAACTATGTGTAATATAATCTTATTGCAATAATATGATCTCATATAATAAATCTATGATTGATGACAATATAAATAATCTAATTTTAAATATAAAAGTTATAAACTATCCTGGCTTCTTTGACTTATTTTTATAAGTCTACACAAGCATCTATTTAAGAGTTTATAATCATAAAACACACAAATCTATAATTATTTACTTGTTCACGAACACACGTGAGTCTACACAAATTTAAAGTTCGCAAAACTACACAAGTTTAGCCTAACAATGTTTTCGTTTATTTAACGAATGAGTTCAAAGATGATTTTTCTTCTTCTTCTTCTTTTTTTTTTTTTTTTTTTTTTGACAAAAACACAGGCTATTTACACATCCACTTTATCCTTTTTACATTTCGAACCCTCACTATCACTTTAGAAAGTAATGAAGATACTAGACCACAAAACTTTTCCACAATACGAATTTTAAACAACGTTGTTCTTACATTCCTTATGAACAACTTGGTTATTTTTTAGTGCTAATATGATTTAAAAGTGTAATCAATGCCAAATGACAAATTATGATTATATAAATATATTCACCTTCGATTTTATTAATCATTAATGTTAAGAGAATTTGTTATAAAATGGATATTTAAGAATGATTAATTTAATATTTGAATTAATGACTTTTGATATATTCAAGTGTAAATAAATTTTTTTTTTTTTTTAAAACAATGTCATTGTGGATAAATTTCTTATTTATAAATGTACACAAGATATTTCTCTGTGTATATATATTTATATTATAATAATAAAGAATGAGAGGTGATATTGACACTCCAACAAACTCCTCTAACACTCCAACCTTAATTATTTTATTACTAATGAAATAACCACCATGCAATTTTATTTGTGTTTACAAGGGTGTTTTTATCTATTTAGTTTTTAATTGAATTAAATTTTCTCACACAAGCAAACACTTTCAATTAAATTTTCACTCAGATAAATACATAATTCACATACAGATGAAGCAATCTTTCTAATCTATAAAATATAATATACGATGAATTGAGAATAAATACAATTACAAATACTCATTGCATATCAGCTCCAAGAATAGTATTTGCTTATAGCAAGCAGAATTAACAGTTCAATCAAAATTCATGATTGAAGCATCACTCAACTGTGCAATCGAAGTCACTATCAGCGATCATCTACCATTCAATCCATATACAAATTAAGAGTTTGTAAATTTACGGGGTGAAGGTTTATAAAATAAAAGAATGATATAGAGTATTTGATGATTTGTTTTGAGTTGTTATTTGAATTTTTATATGCAACGGAAAACTAGTATTTGAAGATCTCATGATGTAAGAGAAGGAAAAGGATCAACAAAGCTAGAGAGAGTAATTGAATCAAAAAAAAGACAGCTTCAGGCAAGGACCCAATGTGGTACCAGGGCATCCCCAGTGGACTATTTATATTTTTATTTTATATCTTAATTTTTAAAAAATTTATGCATATAGTTTCACTAAAATTACAATTTATCTCCCACTGCATTTATTTATTTATTTATTTTTACTTTAAATTTTTAAGAATTTATGAAAATCCCCCCTCTAGAATTACAATTCGGCCCCACTAATTTTTTTTTTTTGCATTTTATACTTTACATTTTTAAAAATTTATGAAAAAATCTAATTGAAATTATAAAGATAGACCCACTGTATAAGTTTGCCTCCAAAAATTAAAAGTTTCCCCTCTCACAAAATTTTGTGGGTCCGTCACCGGGCAGTTTAGTCATTTCATTTGCTAAAAGAAATAGCTGAAACCCAGAGGAGTTTGTTGAAGCGTGAATACCATCTCTCTATAAAATAATGATTTAAGGATTGAATTCAAATTCGTTAGTTACTAAATTCAATTTACATTAGTGTTGTGTTGTGGTGAACCTTATTATATAGCGTAGTCATAGCGTCATGTGATGAGATTTAACTCCACTCACGTAAAATTAAATTGAATTCGATCAAATTCAAACCCCTAAATTACTAACTGTGTATATATATATATTTATATTATAAGTCTATCTATCTACTATACTGAACTTTGGAGTGGCTGTTCAAATGCTTCATCTTCAGCACTCCCTCTCTCTCCAGACATCCCTAGTATCAGTTCATACTTTCTCTCTCTTCAACAAGCGTAGGGTACCAATATCTGCACGGTTTCAATTCGACGGTTGTGATGGTGGTCTCAAGAGAAGGGGATCCAACTTTTATTTACATCGAGCGGTGGATAGAGATTCTGAGTTTGAGGTTGACCCTGATCAGGCCCGAGAAGCCCTACGGAAGCTCGATCAACAGCTTCAATCTCTCTCAGAGAAACAAATCAAACCTCCAAAAATAAAGGGTAATCTCTCCATCTCTCTCTCTATATCTATATTTATATTGTTGGCTTATTGAATTAGATAAAGGGAAAAAATTGTAGTATAAGTTGTGTGTTGTAGTCCTCCTAATAATTTTGCTTATTTGTGGAGAAATTTGTTATATATGTATGCATAATTACTATAATGATACTTATTTGATAAAACCCACTACATAATTTTGCTTAATTTGCCAATGAATTATGAATATATGTGCACACACACTATTGGTTTATGGAGTTTACTTGGAAGTGAAATTAAAATTTTGCTTATTTTTGTTAATATGGTATAATTAAGCAGTGTATGTTCAAGCAAGTAATGAGCTTTGAAGCTGTATAAAAGAAGAAGCTATTATTGAGAACTCTGAAGTGTGGTAGAATAATGAATTAAAGGGTACATTTGTAAGGAAAAGTATTAAAGCAAAATTCTGTGTAGAGTGATATAACCCTGTAGTTTGTTTGGTACTTCGAAAGATGCCCTAAACCAGACTAAGGTCAACCCGAACATGCTAATTTTGTGTTGGGTTTTAGTCGTGTTAATGGGTCGTATCAAGTTTTGTCACCCCTAGCAATCACTCTTGACCTGTTTGAGTAACACATTCTTCTTGTGTCTTTTAGTTGCTTTTGATAATATTCAAGTTAATTCCTCTCCCTCAATCTCTAACTATGTTACATGGACTCTTCAACAGCAGGTGAAGTACTCATGTCCGATACACATTGCTTCGACATGATTTTGTACTATGTGTCCGACATTTTTGGTTGGACATGCAACTAAAAACCATGTACAATAATTTAATGGGTTTAATTTAGTTACACCCCCTGTAATTTGTCCAACTTCAAGGAGACCCTCTCACATTTGCAAAAATTCAGTCAGACCCCCTGTCAGACATTGTCGGTTGACAAAAACAAATAAATGAATGTAATGACTAATTTACCCTTTTGTCGTTTTCCTATAGACACTTAACCAGACAAGGTTTTTTATAACTCCCACCAAGGTTAGTTTTATTTGTTGAACCAAACAGCAGTAAATGATATAACATCTTTCAAGCCAACCACTTTCTCTCTCTAAAAACTGGGTATTTTTCTTGGTTTTGTTTTGTTGAGAAATGCATGAAAGTGGTATGGAGGTGGACAAGATTCAAATGCTGGGATGTAACAAGATGAGTCGACAAAAGGGGGATGAGCTATACCTAGATGATGAAGAAGATGGAGAGGTCAAATGGATGAGGGGAGCAATTGGCGGTGGAAGCACTGGCCTTGTCTGGCTCTGTGGGTGGTCGACATCGCGGATTGTTAGTGTTGATTATCAGAGATAGAGAGAGAGAGAGAGAGAGATATATAATATAAAAGAATATATTGAATTCATGTAATGATAATGATACAAAGCAGGTATAAATAGGCTAACATCAAACGGCTAGTAAATCCCTATTATAATGGCTATATGATGTAATTATGGTAGTAATCTAAACAATGGCTATAGTATAATTTAATTATGTTAACATCCCCTCTCAAACTCAAGGCAGTAGAGCAGAAACCAACTTGAGTTTGGAGAGAAAATCTGGAGCGGATCAAAGACAGGGGGCGGATTCGTAAGGATCCGACACATTACATGTGAATTTCAAGATAAGGCACGTGAAGCGCATGAAGTCCACTGATGGAACGTGGTTATGCGGTACCGGAGTTGTGAAAATCCGATATGTTGAGGTGCTTAAAAGCACATGATAGACCACTTACGACAAGTGTGGTAGCCTTGAGAGAGCTCTTGAAAGCAAATATTAGAGTGGAATCATCACTTGAGAGACGTACGAATGCGCATGACAGAGCGGGATTACCGCTTGATAGGGGCACAGACGCATAAGGACCACTTTTTGGCAGGTGTGGTAGCCATGAGCTCTTGAAAGCGAATAATAGAATGAAATCATAGAGTGGAATTACCACGTGAGGTGACGAAACTATGAAGATTCGACACGTTGAGAGTGCTTAAAAGCATGATGAGAGTGAAATTACCACTTGAGGTGCTTAGGAGCACGTTGAAAGTGGAATTACCACTTGAGAGATGCATTGAGTGCTTGGAAGCACATGATAGAGCGCTTGAAAGCGCATGATATAAATGTCGAAGATAGGGCGCTTGGAAGTGCATAAGAGAGCCAGATCAAGAACTTGAATCTGAAACTGGGCCAAAATTGAAATGAATTTGACCAAAACTAATTTGGGCCTTAAGCTGAATAAATGAAGTTTGGGACCGGCCCAACAAAGAATATATATATATATATATATATATATATGGGTGTGGTGTGGAGGGATACCTTTATCACTCATATATATATATATATATATATATATATATATATTTTTAATGATGTTGTCGGTGAGTGTGGTGTGGAGGGATACCTTTATCACTCTCACTTTGTGGGCTAGCACACTTTTGACTTTTGATTACTGGGTTTAGCAAAATGAAAGAGGAAGGATGAGATTCTGTTTGTCTTCAATTTCTCTCTCTAGAAAGAGAAGAAAAGCAGAATTATGGAGGAGACTGTTTCTCTCTCTAGATACTTTTATCCTCTGGGGTTACAGACTGTTTCTCTCTCTAAAATGCAGAGGAGATTTGATGAGAGAGAAAGGATGGAGCGGAGCGGGCACCATAGAGCGATGAAGAAACAACCGGCAACTTCTCGGACGACGGCGAGCACGGGACCTTCGGAAACTAATGGTGACTATGATACCGGCGAGAGATGGGTCTACATAGTAGCAGCGGTAATGACTGGGGTTGAGCTCGGAGAGGTGATGACGTTGTATACCGGCGGTGACTGCGAGGACGCCGGAGCCAGCGATTGGAGAAGCTTGGAACTGTATCGGCAGTGCTTATGATGGTTATGCCCGGCGGTGAAGTGGCGGCAGCGGCGACAAGTTCGGCCGTGAACTTGCGGATTCGGATGATGGCGGCCGGCAGGACGGTAATGGGCTCGGTACGGCTGTTGAGAAGTTGGCTGACTCGGCCGTGAATGACTTGCGGTGGTGAGCTTGCGGCTTCGCTCGGAACGATGAGGTCAGTTGAGATGGAACGACAACAGCGGGCTGTGGCTGTGGATGATCTGCGACCGGCGATGGAGACGGCAGCGTGATGGAGCCAATCGGATTGGTATATCCGGGGAGCACACAAATGGGTGTGACAGAATCTACGAGGACTAAATTACACAATGGACCAGTAAGCATAGAGAAGCTCGGCGGTGAAGTGGCGGATGGTTCGACCGTGGATGACTCTGACCGGCGGTGGTGAGCAAGGATGCCGGCGGCGTGACTGAACGATGATGAAGGAGTCACTGGCGACAAACAAGGATCGAAACCGTAGCTACAGACGGTGGTTCGAAACGGTGGTGATGGCGGCGAGCTCCATAACGGTGTGGTGAGCTTAGAAGACGGCGGAATTGGGCCTACCGTGGTGGAGGTGAGTTTGGTGGTCCTGGTGGGTATAGCCGAAGGCCGGAATTGGAGGGACCGGTGTACTATCTGGGCATGGCCGGACGCCTGAGTCGGACGTACCCACTGTGGATGGAGATTGAGAATTTGGAGGAAAACTAAGAGTTGGGTATGAAGAAAGTAAAGGGAACAGAAGCTACTGTGTACTAATGAGAGAGAGAGGAGCAGTAGTGGTAGCTACTAAGCAGCAGTAGCTTGGTTTGATGGGTTTGATTGAGGACTTTGGACCGCCGCCGGAGATGAGGAGCCGCCTCATCTCCGACAGTGGCTCTGATAGCATGTTGATTATCAGAGATAGAGAGAGAGAGAGAGAGACACACACAGATATAATATGAAAGAATATATTGAATTTAATAATGATACCAAGCAGGATTAAATAGGCTAACATCAAACGTCTAGTAAATCCCTATTACAACGGCTATATAATGTAATTATGGTAGCAATCTAAACAACGGCTATAATATAATTTAATTATGTTAACAGTTAGGGTTTCTCGGCTAGCCTAATCTCATCGTTTGGTTGTCACTGTTGACAAAGTCCAATCTCATCGATTGGTCGTCGCTGGAGCCAGAGCCCAAGAGAGAGTTGCAAAATTTCTAGGTTTTCGGTGGGAGGGGCATCGCTGCTCACTGTCGACAGAGTCCAATCTCATCGATTGGTCGTCGCTGGAGCCAGAGCCCAGTTGCGGTCTCGGTTTTCGGTGGGATGGGCATCAAAAAATAGAAATTGAACTTGGACAAATTGCATACGGCACGAGTTGAGTTGAAGCTCCAAACCCACAAGCCACCAGAGTAGAATGATCAAATTTAAATCAAAATCCAAGAAGATAAAATCCGTAGAGTGACAAAGTCCAAAAGTGGGAACCATGGAGTTGGCTCTTCAGCACATATCGACTGCTGATTATGGCTTTCTCTGATTTTGTATTTGCCTTGCGCATATAAACCCTAATTAAAAGCCCTAATCTTATCTCTATTTTCTATCTCTATTTGAATCTAAAATTAAAAGCCCTAATCTTATCAGCCCTAATATGAATTAATTTTCTCTTTTTTGATATTTTTATTTTAGTAAGTTTGCAAAATCTTATTCATTGTAGCTTTTGGATACTCTGATCTTGTGTTTAGCATTTAAACAAACAAAATCTTCTACTTCATGAGAAGAAATTACAGGATCCTCCCTTTTGAAATTACAAACAAAATCTTAAAATTTGGGCTTTAAAATTTAATTTTTTACTCCCTTTGTCCTATATTAGTAGTCCATTTTTCTATTTTTTGTTGTCCCATTTTAAAAATCAATGCACTATTTTTATTAACATTCCCAATTTACCCCTAAAAGATAAAACACATTGAAGTGTCAAAATGGTGGACCCCATCAAAGAATACAATTTAAAAGGCATAAATTTGGAAACCAATGTAATAAAAGCTAGTGTCTTAAAATGTGTGAATTTTGAATGTGGACATTTATAATGGGACAGAGGGAGTAATTTATTAGTACAACTTGATTCAAAGGTGGTATATAGTCTATAACCAAACATAACCGTTGAGGGGCAATTTGGGCATTAAAAATTTAATTTTTTGTTGATGTCGGCAAAAAGCATCTCTGACCAACTTTGACCGTTGACCGAGGGGGGAGATTGATGCGTGTCAGAACAAGTAGGGGGTCTAACTGAATTTTTGCAAATGTGAGGGGTCTCCTTGAAGATTGGACAAACCACAAGGGGTGTAACTGAATTAAACCCTAATTTAATTTTATTATATTATTGCTTCAAAATGAGTGAAATGCCAATATTGCACAATATGTCACATAAAGAAATTATTTTACTTAGAAAATAAAATAAAATATAAAATATATAAATATTAAGCAGTGTCCTTATGTCTTTTTGTTTGGAGATTTGACATATCCGTCGTGTGGATATTTACCCACATCTGACACGCGTACCAGAGTCCATGTAACATAGACCCACAAAGAAAGCCAACATGCAATTATGAAAATAAATCATCATGGAATCATTTTTCATGAAGTCCTAAAACTCACTCTATTTTATATCGTCATTTGTGACAGAGGATCGGCTTTTGAAATGGTGCCTTGTTGAGGATAGATTTGTCTCTTTGTATCTTATGTTAAAAACCAAGTCGCCCCTCAATTTCTCTGAGGCATCCTAATGCTTGCGAAGTTTATTATGAAATTTAGTAATTTTATGCTTGGGAGCACCGAATTGGTGGTTTGGATTTGGGATCAAAGGAAATTTAGTTAAAACTTTGAACTAAATTTCCTCCAATCCCAAATCCAAGACATCAATTCAGTGTTTCCAAACGCAACATAAGAATCATTCATTTCATTGGAGAAGAGGTTGAATTAGATATGTTTGAAGCTGTTTAAGACACCTTATTTCTAATCTGATATGATTTTTTTAACAATTGCAGCTTCAGAATTGAATCGTTCAAGGCCTGAAATGAGAGAAGCTCCAGATTTTTCAGGATCATTTTTTGCATATTTCGCTTTTGTTCTCCTTATGTTCACAATCTTTTACAATGTACTATTTATTACCGTAATAAAACCGTCCATAGATGGCCCAGATGAACCATTTCCGGATACAACTGCTGTAACAGAAGCTCCAAAAGCAACAATTTGAAGCAGTTGCCACCGATATCGTAAGTTCTCATACAGACCAGAAGTTGTAGTTACTTGTAAGTAGATCTTAATCAAGTACTAACTTTTATTTCATTTGCTAGAAGTTTTACACAGCAGTAAAAGTCATTTCATTGCTTGTCACTTCAAAGGAAAATCCAAAATTATTTTGAGAAGGATGAGGTTTGTAGACTTTATCAAAAGCCTAAACTGTATAATTGTTGTAGTGCCATTGGCAGTGACGTCATTGGATATTTTATGTAGTTCTGAAAATTAGTGTTTTTCGATTGTTTTTGTTTTAGGTTGCTTTGTTTTTATGTGTTTTGATTTAGTTAATGTTCCGTGGCTGCTTTTATTCTTCATCTCAGTTTTTGTTTTTATTCTTGATTATGCAAATTCCGTTGAAATGTTCTTGCTTCCGAATAGTTATCTGGTTTATTTGAAATACTGAAGACGAGTGACTCTGTTCATATGAAACCCGCAGCAGCACCACTATTGGATGCATATTGTAAGTAGTCTACGAGTGCACTTGTTCACGCACGGTGTGCCCTTTTCTTGTAATAATGAATCTGTTGTTTGGTAGATATTATGGACCTCAATAATGTGATGCCACAAATAACTAGTTGTGTTTAGTAGGTGGATCATGGTGCTCAATTTGATTCCAGAAATAACATATCATAAGCTAAACCCGTGCTCCCCTCTCCGTTAGACTATCTGTTCTTGTATAATTTTTTTTAAGCTTATTCCTGTTTTTCAGTTATAGGTAGGATTGAACATTGTGCTCAGGAAATGGAACCAAGCGAACCCTGTATTGTTAAATTCACTAGGAATCAGAGACATATGAACTGTATCTGTAACAACATCAGGTGAAGGATGGTTCAATCAAAAGATTATCGTCTATATGAAAGATCGATCCATTATCCTTGTAGGGGGTTTCATTAGAAAGCCAGTCATTTTGAATGTATCGAGTCTTCGACCAAAAGCCTGACATAGATGTTATGGGGTTTGTTCACACCTTAGATAAGGGCATCTTTTATTGAGGACGCTGATGATATCAAAGTTTTATGTTCAATTTTTGAAAAAGAGATGTTAGAAATTACGGGGTGCACAAGAACTGAAGGATGTTTATCAATTCTCTATCGATTGGTTGGACCATAGGTGTGATGATTTAATGGATGGCAAGGTCTCTGATTCAAGTCGTGATCTTGAAAAACTGAAAATGAATGGCCTTTTTTTCTTTTTAAATCAATGCATAATTTACTTACGCAGTGGAAGAAGGTCCTTGTCCTTGAGCTGCATTCTGCTGAAGAATGGACTGACTAGTTCAACCATCAAGGAAAATTTTGTATGTATCAGAGTCGATGCTTATTAAGTACCTCAAAATTCAAGATCCAAGTTCTAGTGTGTATTAGTTACATGATGGCTGGTGCTATTGCTAAATGAAATTGTATTAGTTTTATTTAATTTATTATTATTATTATTGTATATATATTTCTATACGAATATATATTATTGTATATATTTATATTTTATTATTATGAAAATCAGTTTTACTTTTTCTATAAAAAAATTCACAATCAATAACTATAATTTAGTACGATAATTAGAGTCATGGATTTTGACCGTCCTATATTAAATGGTTAGTAATAAAAATGGGTATTTTAATCTTTTGAATCTATGATATTTTAGATTAAAATATAGGAGTAAAAATGTCATTTCAAACCCTTTTTTTAAAATAAAATGGTAGTGCAGCATCTCTGTTAATTATCATGGAAAATATGAATGTGATCCGAATGAAGAAAGAAGAATTATTATTATATTTTTCATTGGATTATTTCAAATTTGTTGAATTGTTTGTTGTGTGGCCACTTGGGCCTTGTCTTTGGGCCTGGATCTTCTTTTATTTTAACTGCTCTTGGGCCTCCTGCATCCGGACCTTGATCTTTCTTTTCTTGTTTGTCTAAGGCTTTTGCTTTTGCAGCCCAATCTATACCGTATATGTTTACACTATTTATACAATTTGCTTGATTTTCAAAAAAAAAAAAAAAAAATAATAATAATAATTCATTGTATTGAAGCAGGAGGATTACTCATCTATTTTCTTATCCTTGCCTCCTCATTTTTTATCTATAAAAGAAAAAATATATATTTATTCTAGCTTCCCTCCCCCTACTGTGCATTTGAAAAGTCAATGTACTATTTTTATTTATTTATTTCTATAACAATGTCATTTTACCCTTCTTGCATTGAATTTATAAAAAATAAATCATCACATCACTATGAATTTAACTCTTTCATAAACAAGATGCTTAGGATGGTGTTTTCTGTCACTTTGTATTTCCTTTGGAATGAAAGAAATCGTCGTTTACATGATGAGGGTCCTAAAGGCTATATGATTTTGGTTAAATGTATTATTTGGGATGTTATGGATGTCTTGGGGGTATGTCTTCAGGATATTACAGTGTCTTGAATCTCTTTGTTTTCTAGGGTTTTCTGGCTGAATCCCTCTATTTGTGAGATATTTTGAGGGTTCTCCTCATGTGTAACTCTACTTTTAACTTGATATATATAAAATTTTTGTCATTTAAGAAAAAAAAAAATATTAATATTAGTAAATTTGGTAATTTATTTACTATCAATATAATAAAAAAAAAACTAAAAATCATCTTCTTAAAAAATTAGATTCCCAAAAATTAGGATAGAGGGAGTAATAACTAATAACTACAAGTGTTTTAATACTAAAAAAAAAAAAAAAAAAAAGAAAAAAAAAAGAGAATCCCATACACAAACCTATTTTTGCAATATCAACAAACAGATAGTAACAAACATAATAAACTGATGTAAGATTGAAGTGTTGCATAGACCATGAACACGTACAATGTTGCATTAATGAAGACAGAGTGTTGGTTGATCAATTCAGTGGGATGTACACACAAATTTTTGAATAGTAGAAACAATAAATCCCAAAATAATAATAAAAAATGAATTAAATAAATAAATAAAGAAAACCTAGATGTATCCTAAATATAAAAAAGGCGATGGTTTTGAGCCCAGGAAGGAAGGGTTGCATAGGATTCCCTCAAGCGGATTAGGTACGAACCAATTGGAGTGAGATTTCACAGCAAAGTTAGCAAACAATCAAAGTTAGATAATGGTAGTGTGGTTGGGATTTATTGTTATTATTATTATTATTAAATAAGTGATGGAATCTAAGACGAAACCACCAAGCCTTTTGTTTTGTTTGGTACTCACATAAAAACAACGCATATAAGTCCGCTTAGATCCATTGCAGTGCAGTGGTATTGGCTTGCTTGCTCAAACCAACCCACAATTCCTCACAATTGAAAAGACAAACACAGAGCAGAAACCTACACAGAGGTATGGGGTCTACAGAGTGGCTATTTGAGAGGATATTGAATATTCATGAGAGAGATATAGATGAAACAAGATCATGCAACACACAGTCTCCTCCGATGGCTGCAGGCGAACTGCCCGCTCCAAGGGTCCATGGCATGTATGAAGTCCCGGGTGTGCTTCGTGAACAAAACAGAGACGCCTATCGTCCAAGCTGCGTGTCTATTGGGCCTCTTCACAGATTGGGGAGAAAAGAAGATGTAAAGGAGATGGAGGCGGTGAAAATGAGGTATATGTGTCAGCTACTTGAGCGAAATGGAACACTTGTGAAAACGGTAGCAAAAGCTATGACGACATTGAGTTCCCGTGTTAAGGAATGTTACTCCCTCTGTCCCAAAATAGCTGAGTACGGTAAGAACATTGGCTCACAAAATTTACTCGAGATTTTGTCACAAACATTCAATTTTCTTGCCAACGATCTTTCTTCCTATCACATTTCACGTTACCAAATTCCTTTGATTGAGCACTTGATTTATGTAAGATGCATCATGATTGATGGTTGCTTCATAATTGAACTTCTTTACAAGAAATACGTAGAGATGTCTGATCCAATTTTGGAGAACCATTTGAAGTACGATCAGGTCAGACGTGACCTGCTATTGCTCGAGAACCAGATCCCCTTCTTCGTTCTTGAAGAATTGTTCAGGCTGACAGTGGAACCTATCCAGGTAAGTAGTACTACTATAGGGCGCCGCCAAGTCTCCCTCCGTAGATGTGTCCTTTCATTCTTTGGAGATATGATGGGACTAGAAAATATTGGTGGTGAAATAGAAAACCTGGAAAACATTTCCCCTCGTCATATACTCCATTTTTTACACATTTGTTACCTATCTCCTTTGCAGAAGGCACCGATATGGTACCAACACAAAGAGAAACCGACATTCAAATACAGTGCAACAAAACTCCAGAGTGTAGGAGTCAAGTTTGGGCCACGTTTCAGAAGAGAAAGCCTATTTGATTTGAAATTTAGCGCGGATCGTCCTTGCTTTTGTTTGTGGAGAAGAGGTCATTTCAAAATCCCACGTTTCTCTATCAATGAATCTACTGAATCATTATTGAGAAACCTCATTGCTTTCGAGCATTGTTGTCCCGGTATTGACAACTACTTCACATCGCATGCAGTCACCATGAGCATCCTCTTGGACTCTGCAGAAGATGTTAAATTGCTTGAAGAAGCCGGAGTCATACGTAACCAGTTAGGTTTCAGTGAAGCGGTGTCAGAACTCTTCAAGGATATTACCAGCGATGAAATCATTGTAAGAAATCAAAGACTTCTTTATAAGGATATGTGGATGCAGGTGATGGATTTTTGCACACCTTGGCGACTAGCTCTTGCTAATGTAAACACACAAATGGCAGTAGCTGCTGTCATTATCCTGAATCTCATCACACTTTTGTCCTCCATCTACACCGTCCTTTCTTATTATGGCAACTAGCATGCAAGGTAAGTATTTCATGTGTATCAGTGTGTATGTATGTCTACTATTTCTTTGTTCCTACAACTCCATCTTGTTAATTAATTCATCTGGATTTGTATTACTAATCTGAAATGTACCGTTAATTAGAATTGTATTAGCACTTGTGAGAATGCGTGTAAGTCATTTATGTACTGTCATCTTTATGCTTGTCATTCAAATCTCTATCTTTATTGTATGATTATCATTATCATTAGTGTTTCATATCTTTCCCAATATTAATCTTATGAAGTCAATCTTATTACAAACTCGCAGATTGAATTTGTTCAAAATTGTAATATTTTACTTGCATCTGCAACTATTTCAGATCCACTGCAAGGTGAGACTTGAGAAATCATTGACATTTAAGATAATAGGTGTCTTTTGCCCCTTTGCTCTTTTATTATTATTATTTTTCATATTTGGTATTCACACACACTCTCTTTTGAAACTTGATTTCTTGACCTCCATTTGAAAAATAAGAGGCTGATACCGCAAGGCCACTGACCCGATAATTACGTTATTCTTGCCTTGATGTACTTTATTGTTTTTTGTTTAATAAAAAGTTTTCATATTTAGGGGGAAAAAATTGCACAGTAAATGGTCAGATTTATTGTGTTGAATTTGTTATTAAATTTATATGATGTTTTGAAATTGAAATAAAATTTTTAGGATTTGTAAAATTTAAAATATAAATTCAGGTTGGGTGGATTTTATTGAGGAAAAAGCAGAACACAAAAAGAGGCAACATGGTTTTGGGGATTTTATTGGTATTAATTTAACATGGTGATACAATCATTGCATGTTTGTAACAATTTATAAAAGAGAAGAAGTCGGCTTTCTCAGCCAATAAGAAACGCGGTTGTTAGCAAAGTCCATCACTCCATACCCTCTTATCTCTTAGTTAATCATTTATAAACTTTTTTTAAAAAATAGTATAAAAATAAATTCAAAAATATATAAAAAAAGGTAGAATAAAATTAAAATAAACCCTAAAGAACTAGGTATACCCTAAAAATAAAACCCAAATTAAATTGGAATGAAATTAAACACAAGGTGGTTTGATTAAAAAGAAAACTGAGAAAATTTATATTCCTAGAGAAATTGGTTGGTAGTCACCAAAGAAGAAAAACTGATGATAAATAATATCGAGAGAGAGACAGAGTTGATTTCAAAGATTGAGTCCGCGAGCGACAGAGATTCATTTCAAAATGAGAGCAGAAAGTTTATATTTCTAGAGAAATTGGTTGGTAGTCACCAAAGAAGAAAAACTGACGGATAAATAATAGAGAGAGAGTGTTGATTTCAAATAGGAAAATGATATGAGAACTGAATGAAAGGTCGAACTTAATGTGGCTTGGCCACGTCAGGTTATTTTCTTAAAAGTATAAACGCGTGAAATACCTCTTTGTTTCTCTCTCTTCGCTTCTTCTAATTATGGGTTTTTCTTCTCTATTCAATCTTATCTCAATTGATTCTGGTTTTGTGTCTCTCCTTTTGATTTTGCAAAATTGAAGATAAAAAAAAAATTAAAATTTTCATGTTTTGCTAATACAGAAGGTACAAAAACAAAAAACTACAACTATTGTTTCGGTCCTTTAAATTTTGTATTCATGAAAATCAAACAGAAAAATTGATATGTGTATAAGTTCCATCCAAACGTTTGGACTAGTCTCAAGCTAGAATTAATCTGGAGAAATTTGACCACTAGATTTCGAGAAAGAGGATAGATAAAGAAGAATTGATAAAGAACAGGAGAGAGAAACGAAGAGGAAGAGAGAGAAAAAGAGAGAAACGAAGAGGAAGAGAGAGAAAAAGGAGTTAGCGTCTTACGGGTAATGAAATTGTCTGACGTGGTTATAGCCACGTTAAGTTCGGTGTTTTTTTCGGTAGATATCTTCGGTTAAATTTAAATTAGATATTGTATATTCTCTCTCATAGCTCCAACTGCTCTCATTTTGAAATTAATCTCTGTCGCTCAAAAAAAAATTAAAATGACGTTAGTATAATGAAGTGACATATGAAAACAAAGCGTTTTAGGCTGCGTTTAGTAACGAGAAACGTTTCTTATTTTCTGTTGTTAACCTCTAAAAAGTCAAAACGAAAACAAAAATCGTGTTCAATAAAATATTTTTGTTTTTCTATAATAGAAAACGTTTTCAATTTTTGTGATAAAAAGAGAAAACATTAAAATGAAATTTCTTATATTTTCGGCATTGTAGTGCAGAAACGTTTTCACTAATGTTACTATACAGGTAATATTCATTTCAAATAAAATTCATATTATTTGTGTTATGTACTAAGTTGTATATTAAATGTTAATAAAAATATATATTTTAAATATAAAATATATAAAATATTGTATATTATTTTTTATTTGATAAAAATATATTTTAATATATAATATATTAAATAATAATGTAAATTATTTTTTGTGACAAAATAATTTTTGATATAGAATATAATGTTATTAAATTATTAAGCAATAGATATTTTATATTATTATATATCATATCTATTTATATTATATGTAAATATTAAATTATAATTAATTTACAATATTATAACACAATATACATTTTATTACATATAAGATATATTATTTAATATTTTTTATTCATAATAAATTATCATATGCTAAATATATTATATATCACATAATAAATGTATACATCATGCATATATATGTATTTATATACATAATTGGTGGGAATGTTTTTGTCTTGGTATATCTAATTTTGTATTTATGATGTATTGAGTATTTTTAAAATTTATAATTTTAAATTAGATTTTATACATTTTTAGTTTTTTGATATTAATGGAAGCAAGTGTCGTGTCTGAGTGATTGGGTTGCTCCCTATATCCTAGAGTTCGTGTTCATTAACTCCTAAAATTCTTGCCATGAAAAAAATAAAAAAAATATTATGTACATTTTGTAACAAATATGTTGTATTACTAAACAAAGTTATTGCTTTATGTTTTTAAATTTGTGGCAGTAATGAGTGTTAATAAATATCATTTCTAGTTTTTATTTTCACTGAAGAAAATTTCTCCTTTTTTTAAAATTGTAAAAATATAAAACAAAAACGTTATTATAGCACTAACTCCATAGTTGTTGAAGAAAGATGGCTTTTAATATGTGTAGAGGGCAATGCTTGAAAGGCAGTGGTTTGGAGGCACGTGAGCGGTTGCATAGGATTCCCTCTAGGGAATTAGGAACCAATCCACTGAATTAGAAAAACAAATGATAAGAGAGAGTGTTGATTTCAAAGATTGAGTCCGCGGGGGAGAGAGATTAATTTCAAAATGAGAGCGGTTGGAGCTATATGACAGAAAATATACAATATCTAATTTCAATTTAAATATATATAATTAGAATAACATTGACCACAAAAGGTGATTTACTCTAAAAAAAAAAATAATCATTTCCTTTCAAATTTTTTATTTTGAGATGTCCCATTCGAAGCACTATTTTTATAATATTTTAAAATTATTTTTTTTGACATTAACTTAATTACAGAAGTACAGTAAACTCAGTATTTGTTGATATTTTAACAAATATAAATTTAAAAATTCAGAAAATAATTAAAATGATGTTATTATAGCACTACTGGAGTAAGAGATTGAGATTTATTATTAAACAAGTGATGGCAGGTAAGAGGTAACAAACAACTAGCCTTAATTTTTTTTTTTTTCCTTCACTTTTAAAAATTCTTCATCTATGATGTGTTTGTTTAATGGGTCATTAGCTACCCATTTGACACTGAGAGCGATACAGGGACAGAGAGAGCAAATGGATCCAGGAATTCATTCGATGGACAAATAAAGGAATTTTTTAAAATATAAAATAATCCTCATATCTAACTTAAAATATTATATACATATAATAACTATATATACATAAATATCTAACTTTACAACTAATATCTATATATATACTAATATCGAACTTTAATCTAAAATATTTATATAACTCTAAATATCTAACATATAATATAAAAACATAATAAATATCTATATATAGGTAAATACTAACATTAATACACAGTAAAATATAATACAGTAAGAACAACCAATTTTACATGCACGGATAAAAAATAATAATTTAATACTTAGCATAAACAATTAACAGATAAATAAATCTACTCACAAAATATTTAATCTACAAACAAACTAATTAATTTAAATAAAAAAAAAACTTTTAAAAATACGGGTATCACACCAAGGCTAGTCGGGGGTGCTTTCGGCAATGTTTTTCAAATTGATTTTTATCATTTCCCAAATGATTTTAAATGTCTAAAATGATTTAAGTGAGTTTCGTTTGACTAGTTTGGAGCCATATTTCTCTCTTTTCTTGCGTTAGTCCGACATGTGACCAAGGTAGACTTCGTGATTGTAGGTCTTGCTTGTTTTCGCTTGCTTTTTTCTTCCTTGTGTTCTTGGAACACAGGTGAGATCATTTTGGCTTCATTAACTCACCATTCATGGTCATATTAGCCATGTGGGCTAATGTAGGTTTTCGCTTCCGCATTTAAGTTGGATTTCAGGTCGGGTTCGAAGTTTCTTGGTTAATGCACCGGGTCATCTCAATGCGGGGCGGTACAAATTCATTAAGCACCATTACATGATTACTACTCTTATAATCACAAAAAACAAGAAAAGTTTGAGTTCAATTAAAACGAGATCAATTTTAAGAAAAGAGATTAATATCATTAGAACATAATTTATTCATTAAAAACCCAATTGCTTAATATTACTGAGTCAATTGCTCACAATCATGCAATTAATATAAATAATTAATAAAATCCCAAAGTTAAGAACAATCAAACTATGATACTAGGAATAGGGTTACATGTAACGACCCGAATCCGTGGATCCGGACTGTCACCCGGGTCCTTACCTGAACCCGGGGTTAATTAGGTCATACACTCTATTTCCTATGTTCAAACCTGTTATAAGACTCACTCCGGAGCTCAGAATACCCAAGGATACAAGCTTACAATGCTGGTCAACATTTTAGGTCAAAAGGGACAGTCAGCCGGCTGATAGGCCTTCATCGGTCGGCTGCCAAGGCATGATCGGCCGGCTGACCTACATGGTTGGTTGGCCGAAATGGTGATGAAGTTTACAGGCTCATGAGACTTTCACTATAGGCGTTTCGGTTGGCTGACGATGGGGGTTCGGTCAGCTGATGGTGAGGATCAGCCGGCCGAAACATGTCTC